CGCCAGAAGCTTCTTAGTCATGCTGGCCACATGACCCGGAAGCTGTACGCCGGCTCCCTCGGCCAATAAAGCGAGATGAGCGCTGCAATCCCAGAGTTGGCCATGACTGGACCTAATGGTCAGGGGTCCCTTTACCTATACCTTTTGCTTAAGAAAAGACTTGGCCTCCTAGAGCAGAGGTGCATAGGAGTGCCTATAGAGAAGCCACTCCTGCCCTGCTTTTTGCCCGATAGCTCACCAGGCATTGGACATATGCTCACCCCCCCCATAGCCTTAAGGATGAGACACTTTTAAAAACATCAATTGAAAACCGAGTTTCTTGAGATGCTGAATGTTGCACTCGATATTCTTGTGGGGGGCCCAGTATTGACACACTTCTCAGGTTATTCACATTTGACACATTTAGGCGCCCGCAAATCCCAATGGAAATCAACATGGGTTTAATTGTTCATGTATGTCCCATAATTATGGATTGACGAGGGATTAATTAACCCTGGATTGCATAGAGCCAGATGCAATCACCTGAGGAGCGATCACTTTTCGCCTCCATGACACCTACATATGAGAATGACAGCACTGGAAAACCATTCGGCGTATGTCGAGGAAAGCAGCAGGTTGCCTGACGATCAACAGTCAGGACACTCTTTGTCACAAGATTGGTCGTTACGTTCCATGTCATCACCCAATTCTGGGTAGTGGAGTTTAAAGTACTGGTTGCCTTCCAGAGCAGGGATGGGGAGACTTTCTCAGCCTATGGGAAGCATTTCCTTCAGAGTAATCTTTTGGGAGCCACATTCTAGTGGTGGGTGGGGCCACAGGCAAAAGTGGGCGGAGCAACGACTGCACATATTACATTAATCACATTATCATATGCATCATCCATGAGATCTGGGGAAAAATGATTTGCAGGTGTGCAGGCATGCCACATAAGAAGATCCAGCATCCTGTTCTCACAGATGCCTGTGGGAAACCTAGAAGCAGGATTCGAATAAAAGAGCACTCTCACCCTCTTTGGCCTCCGGCAACTGGCATTCAGAAGCGTCCCTGCCTCTGCTCGCCAAATGCCAGATCCAGGAACTGTGCTGGAATTCCAGACAGTTGCAGAATCCTGATCTGCAACAGCTAGTCCTCTAAGAAGAGCGAGAGAGTCTGGGAAAGTTATGCCAACACGTGTTCTCTGATTGCTTGACGTACGGGTTGGAGGGAGGAATGGTCATCCTGTAGTAAGACCACTGATTTATTCAGTCTTGCCCACCCACCCACCAAAGACCAGTTTGGAAGCCACCTTCCTCCCTAAATAAAAGTCATTGAGGTGACATTGAAACAAGGTTGCCTGTAAAGCCTACAGTGGTACCTCGGGTTAAGTACTTAATTCTTTCCGGAGGTCCGTACTTAACCTGAAACAGTTCTTAACCTGAAGCACCACTTTAGCTAATGGGGCCTCCTGCTGCTGCCGCGCCGCCGGAGCGCGATTTCTGTTCTCATCCTGAAGCAAAGTTCTTAACCTTAAGCACTATTTCTGGGTTAGCAGAGTCTGTAACCTGAAGCATATGTAACCTGAAGAGTATGTAACCTGAGGTACCACTGTATTTATATCACTTTAGTAATCATGGCTTACCGCAAAGGATCTTGGGAACTGAAGTTTATTCCTCACAGGGCTACCATTCTGAGCACTACAGCTCCCAGGATTCTTTGGGGGGGGGAAGTCATGGGCTTTAACTAGATAACAGATAAACAGCCTCGTTCTGTAAAGAAATGCAACTTTCTGCATTGATCTGATAAGGAGGTTCCCAGCATTTAAAAGGAATTTTAATGAAATCAAAACAATGCACAAACACACACACACACACACACACATAAAAAGAGACACAAAATCTTCAAAAATCACACCTGAGTTATACAAACTGTTCTCCCAAAGAGAGAAAAGTGGAAGACACAGAAGATGTAGAGAAACTATTTACAATACAGAAAATACCTCCCCCCCCTTAAACAAACATCACAATTGCAATCACGGTGTTAGACAAAGTTTCTTTTGCCTGGAAGCTAATATAAAAACCCAATGGACAGACTGTTAATAACAATAATTAAAAAACAAACAAAACCCAAAACATAAAAGAACAGAGGATTACAGTTCTAACGGGCTTGGAGCCATCAAAGTGGTAATAGTTTTATATTCATTCCTTGCCATCAATGTGATGGCAAAAAAAGATCTACAGTGCAAGAGGGGCAATTGTCTAAGGCAGGAGTTGGGCAGCTTATTCAGCCTGAGGGCCACATTTCCCGCTGGGTGGGGGCCACTTGCCAGAAGTGGGCAGGGCAGGAGACAAAAGTGGGTTGGAGAAACGAATGCAATTTTTACCTTTGTACAAGCAGGCTAGTTTCTGCACACGATCACACATTCCCCTGCCTCTCCAGGAAAGCAAAAAGGCATTGGGAGACTCCAAGGACACATTCCGGTCAGGTGAAAACATCTAAGGAGTGTGCAAAGCAGGCTTGGCGAGGGGTGGGAAGGCACGTGACCTGGGGGGTGGGGTGGGGAGAGAATCCTGATAGGCCTGGTTAACCCCCTCTCCAGATCCGAGGTTCCTGGTTGCTGGTCTAAGCAGCAAATATGTTGTGAATAAACAGAACTTGCTCTAGAAGAGGAATCTTCCAGATCAGCTAGTTTCAGAGGCTTTTTCCAAGCTACTCATTACATAGCATATGTGCATCACCGTCTCTGTGTGCACATTTAATGGAAAGCAGCTGGGGGAGGTGGTGAGTGTGACTGAAGGGGGAAAGGCTGCTTCATCCTTTCCCCTCCAAACTTTTCCCAACCCAAAGGCTGCCTCCACCCAGTTGCTTTTCCAGTTGCTCTGAATATGGGACCCTAGGCAGCCTCTTTTCCCAGGAACAGACTTTTGCTGACCTCCTCCCTCCCATATGCCACACAGTTATTTAGTATCGGGGGTAAAAGAAATGACTCATCCTTTTTATTGCTACCACCAGCACCTCTGGCCCGGTCCTGGTAGCTTGGGAATTGTACAAACTGAGCGAAACAGGGAAAACGAAGATTCGATTTGCATGGCTAGTGAGGAACGAGCAGGTCTGTCAGTTTCACTTTCTGTCACTTTCTTGTTTTTCCAACCCAAAGGTTAAGGTCTCCCTATGTTGACATTGGTTTGTGATTTTCTTTTTCTTTTTTAAAAAGTCATTGTGAAAATTCACCACTTTTTTAGTGCAAAATTCTCCTAACCGGCACATTTTGGCAAAGCAATCTCTCCTAATAAAATGCATTTTTGTAGGTTGTAGGTCATGCATTTTTATGCATGCTTTGCCCTAATCTCTACACATTGCTTGGCTGGAGAACTCCCCTGCAAAATTTGGAAACTGAGAATTTTGAAGGATGGCTGTTCTTTAGTTTGTGCATCATTTTGGAACATTTAGGTAGGTAGGTTTGCCTCTGGATGCAAACTGAATAAAATTTCTTCCCCACCCCAGCAACTTAGCATATAAGTGTGTGGAGCCAAACTCCAGGGGTTAGAGGCTATTCAACCTATTTCCGAGTTTTCTATTTACTGTTGCCCCTCCTAGTCACATTCAGATCAAGGGAGTGGTAGAATTGACTTAGACCGGCTCACAAGCAGTTTTGTCCAGTCAATCTTCCCCACCAAAATGTTTCACTTGAATGAAAAAAAGGGAGGTGTCTACATGACTAGATATGTGTGCTTATTTTATTTTTAAAAAGAACTTGTAAAATGGTTTCAAAATTGCTTGAGATTTTTAAGTTTGCGAAGATGAAATGTATTAACTCATCAAGGCATTTGTCCAGTAGACACCTGGGCAAATCTGGACTTTTCAAGGTACAGCTTGAACTACCATGTGTGGGGAAAAATGCCTGACTTGTTTAATCAGAGATCCTTGTGAGAGACCTTTTAAATTTTTTTTTTTTTAATTAACACATCTATCACAGGCATTGGCAATTCTAAAGCACAACCTCCCAAATATTGGAGGAGCAAGTATCTATAGATAGGCAAGTTGGGTGAAAAAGTGCCCATTTGGTGAATATACCATCCAAGGTTGGCCTAAGATATTTTGCTACCTGAGATGCAGGCCCAGATGGTAGCCTCCCCGTGTCATTCACTGAAGCCAACCAGATCGGTAGCTGTGTTTTGCTTCAATGTCAGCAAAGGAGCAATCACCCTCCATTGCAGCTGAGGGCAGCTGGTTAGCTTAGGGGGTACAATGGAGACTAACTACATGTGTACAACCTCACTCTGCCCAACGATAGGGTCGGCCCTCACTCTTGAACAATTAGATGCATGTCAATTCCATGTCTATCTTGCTCCCCAGAAGCTATGGGGTCCCCAGGTCCCCAGCACAAAGAGTCTGGGGATCAAAACCTGCATGCATCCAGATCACCTAAACGTTCCCACAATTTTGAGCGAATGCATCACTCACAGGCAATCCAAGCACAGCTACCTTGCTCCAGAGCACCACCTGCAGGACACTGAAAGTGCCAATCCAGATTGAAACCTTCAGGAAATCTAATTTGGCAGCCTTGGCTTTGCTTAGGGGGCAGGGATCTCCGCGGATGCATCTTTCGGTTTCGATGGAGAATGGATGCGTCTTCACAGTTGCCTCCCAACAAAAAGCATTTACAAACTAGAGAGAGAAGACAGAACCGCTTCCCCGCCGAAGATCGCCAGGCATCAGTTACAGAGCAAAAGGCTTAGGCAACCGGATGCAGAAGCGCCTGAGGACGACATGATGCGAAGGGCTTATGCCATGCGCACGCACCGTTGCCACGTGTCACCGTTTTAGTCTCTTTGACAGTTCTGCTTGCAGAGTTGCTGCCATCAAGTGAGGTTGAAGGGAGACCGGTTGTGGCATGTGGGCCCTGCATTTGACTGAGCCACTGTTCCCTAAGAAGCGGGTCCATAGCGCAAAAGTTCAGGCTCCTTTTCTTTTTCTGCAGAGAAGAAGAAGGTGGAGTTGGCTGCTCTTTGGGGAATGGGGCTTCAGTGGAGGTAGGTGGGCTGGTTCCATCGGTACCAGGATCTGCTCAAAAGGATAAACAGAACAAAAAAGACACAAAGGCAAGGCTTTAGAAACTGTTTTCTCTGCAGAGAGAGAGAGAGAGAGAGAGAGAGAGAGAGTGCATGTCTATAAAAACTAGATGTGTGTTATGTTGGAGGGGATGCCAGGAAACAGGGAATTATGTTCACACGTGTTGGGGGTGTAAATATGTACAATTTTTTTTGGGCAAAGGGTGTTTAAGGAGATAACAGAAATCACGGGGTTAAAGCTGACCAAAAGTCCAGAGGTAGCATTATTATCAGTTTATGATGGGATGGAAGGTTCACAGGCTATTTATTGACAGCTGCGTGAATTATTATAGCTAGGAGTGGAAGGGGCAAACAGAATATAAAATGGAAGAATGGTACGAAGAGTTTTGGGATATAGCTATTAATGATAAATTAACATGTGCCTTGAAGGTAAGATGGGGAATATGTAGGAGAAATGATTTTGAAGGGATATGGAGGGTGTTCATAGAATTTGTATTGTTAAAACAGAAAGGGGTCAATCCATCGCAAGAGGTGTCAAAATTCTGGGAGGTTGGAGAGTTATAATGGAATGGTCTTGGTGGTGAGGTGCACATTTTTATGCTTATTTATGTATGATTGATTGTTAATTTAATGAGAAAGAGCAAAAAAAAAAAAGACTATAAAAAATCTAAATGTATTACAAAGGGCCAAACTTTCAGGGCATGCACGATCAGATCTCTTGTCTGTTCCTATGGTGAGAATTCAGACAGGGGCGAGCGATGGTGTTGGCAAGGAAATAAGACAGAGCTTTCCAGACTTTTCATGTTGGTGACACACTTTTTACAAATGTATCATTTTGCGACACATTCATTCATTTTTACTAGCAAGCCAGAGGTTAAACGAACCCCTTTACAGCCCTAGGAGGAGCGTAGGGAGCGTTCGCAAGACACATGTAGCTGACACACTAACGTGTCGCGACACACAGTTTGGAAAGCTCTGAACTAAGCTAACAACCACACCATTCTTATAAAGAACATTTTAAAGCACACCCTCCCCCAGAGAAACCTGAGAAAACTATTGCTTAACTGCTCACAGAGCTACAAGTCCAAGTTCCCATGATTCTTTGGAGGGGTGGTTATGTATTACATATTTTGCCATGTCTTGAAGAGCAAAAAAGAGGACACATTTGTGTCGACTTCTACTTTTAAACTATGGATCGCTGTGACAACTCTGCCCATGAAAAAGAGGACGTGTCCTGGAAAAAGAGGCCATATGTCAACCCTAAATATAAAGATATGACAGAAAAGGAAAGGGGAGGGGGAGGGAAAAGGGAGAAGAAAAGGCAAACTCAAGCACTAATTCCCAGGATTCTTAGGGTAGCCATTTGCTTTAAATATGGGTTATATGTGCTTTAAACATATGGTGTGGATCTGTACCAACTGTTTCACCATGTGCCATTTTTCCAATTCTAAATTTGCCCTCAAGGCAAGACATTATGAATTTTTTTCGTACGGATTTTTTTGTGTGTGTGTATGTATAATTCTTAAAGGCTGCAAAAGAGTCTTTTATTTCACTATAAAAGGAAGCATCAGCATCAGCAACGGAATGATTATTTAACCCCCTTCCACCAGGGACCAGCAACTGACTACCTAATAAGAAATTAAGGGGTAATTAATTACTATCCAACCAAAGCAATAAAACAGGCTGAACTAGCACACAGGAAGTTTTCAATTAAGGGCACAGTGGCCCCCCAAAGTCTGCACTTATCAGGTTTTTGCTGTTTTAGTATTTTTTAAATCGCTAATCACGTCTGAAAAGTTACAGGAGGTGAACACAGAAAACAACGGACTGCAGCGAGCTGACAAGGACACTTTCCAAATTCTCTGTAAAAAGTGGTTACTCAAAGCATAGCAATTCCAGAGCACGGGGGCTAGTATGAAAGCAACCTATTACATCTCCAGTGGGCATCCTTGTCTGACTTCAGGTGCAGTTCTGCAACTGTGAACTTTTCCAAGAGCAGCTGCTCATTTTCCTGCAAGCCTTAAAGCAACAGTTTCCCAGGAGTGGAAATTCAGCACCTGGGGAAAACCCACAGTCGCACCTGGCCAGATTGGGACTTTCAGTATGCTCAGGTGACTCTGCATCATATCCTGCTCTCTCCTGCCTCCTGGCTTTCTTCACCATCCTTTTATTCTCATGATCCCAGGGGAAACTCTGAGATTCCTGCATTGCAGGGGGTTGGACTAGATGACCCTGCTGGTCCCTTCCGACTCTACAATTCAATTATTCTTTTAACTGCAGCCCGCTCCCCCCGTCATAGCCTTACCCAGAAGAGTTGAAGCTGGAGGAGTTGATGGCTGCTTTGGAGTTGCTCTGGGACATGCCGGGGCTGCTGGCATGGAGTCCTGTGCCAGGAGACGAGGGCCGGCTGGAGTTCCCCGGAGAGCATGATGATGTCACTGTGCGAGAGAGAAAATTATCCTTAAAGAAAAACCCTTCAGTTGTTCCGGTGCATGCAAATAGTTGTGGTTTCTTTGGCAGCTTAACAGTGCATTTGTTAATGGTTCCTCTCCCCATTTCACTTATTCACTGTTCTGACCCTTCTTTCCTAGGCCCTCCATTCAGTGGTGGTTGATGTCCATCGGGACTAATAATAATAATAATAATAATAATAATAATAATAAATTAATTCTTGGTAGTGGCACCCGCCCTGTGGAATGCCCACCCATCAGATGTCAAGGAAATAAACAACTATCTGACTTTTAGAAGACATCTGAAGGCAGCCTTGTTTAGGGAAGTTTTTAATGTCTGGTGTTTTATTGCTTTTTTAGTATTATCATTATTAATTCTGTTGGGAGTCACCCAGAGTGGCTGGGGAAACCCAGCCAAATGGGCAGGACCCCAGGGTGGCATATAGCTAAAAAACTAAAAACAACAACAAACGTATAAAACAGATTAAAGCATTCTATAAACAATGACAATTAAAGACGTCTAAATGCAATTACAGTTAAATACATCCTTCCCAAATGACCTTGGGGTTGCCAGGGACAGTATCCTTCAGCCACCAGTTGCCTGGGTAAACAGGAATGTTTTCTAATTCCTCCAAGAAATGAATGATTTGGGACATGGTTGGTGGGAGCACAGCCAAGGACAGGCAGATTCAACTAATTCTAACTTCATTCCCCCACCCTCCTGCTCCCATCTTCCTCTCAGCCGAGTTCCACTGTGGCAACACAGAGATTATGGCAGAGGAAGCTGAATGCTAGTGTCCCCTTGCCCCCCACCCTGGTTTGGATGTAAGCAAGAAGTCAAACAGGTATGGTGCTGGTGGTTGGTGGCTGCGTTGAAACAGGGACTTGAGCATCTTACTCTTTGTGCCACCGGGCAAAGGAAGGAATTCTCAGACCTGCCTCTGCTGTGCTGCGGTGCCACCTCTACAATGGCCAGAGATGGTACTGCAGTTTTTCGGACCAGCCAGATCAGCTGACCTGTAGATCCAACAGGGGCCTGGCCGGCTCTATATAACAGTTGCTCTAAGCCATGCCATAGGAACGTAGGAAGCTTGCTTTGGCCAAGCCAGACCATTGGTCCCTGAAGTTCAGTGCTGTCTGCACCAGCATGACGAATTTTTGGCTTGCCAGATGTTGTGGAACTGCAACTCCCATCACCATTGGCAGTGCTTGCTGGGGCTGATGGGGATTGTAGTTCAGCAACATTGGATCTAACAGATTGAGGTTAAATCCTGACAAGACAGAAGTGCTGTTTTGGGGGGACAGGAGGCGGGCGGGTGTGGAGGACTCCCTGGCCGGCGAGACCATATAACATCAGTCTTGAAAGACCTACACTGGCTCCCAGTACGTTTCCGAGCACAATTCAAAGTGTTGGTGCTGACCTTTAAAGCCCTAAACGGCCTTGGTCCAGTATACCTGAAGGAGCGTCTCCACCTCCATCGTTCTGCCTGGACACTGAAGGTCCAGCGCTGAGGGCCTTCTGGCGGTTCCCTCACTGCGAGAAGCCAAGTTACAGGGAACCAGGCAGAGGGCCTTCTCGGTAGTGACACCCGCCCTGTGGAACACTCCCATCAGATGTCAAAGAGAAAAATAACTACCAAACTTTTAGAAGACATCTGAAGGCAGCCCTGTTTAGGGAAGCTTTAATGTTTAATAGGTTATTGTATTTTAGTGTTTTTTTGGAAGCCGCCCAGAGTGGCTGGAGAAACCCAGCCAGATGGGCGGGGTATAAATAAATTATTATTATTATTATTATTATTATTAGGAGTCTACACTGACTGGCAGCCTCTCTCCAGGGTTTCAGACAAAGGGTCTTTCCCCTTTCCAACCTGGAGATGATAAGGATGGAACCTGGGACCTTCTGCATGCAAAGCAGTTGCTTTGGCACTGAGTTACGGTCCTCTCCTTGACAGTAAGAGTTGTTTGACAGTGGAACAGACTCCCTCTGCAGGTTGTCAGTTCTCCTTCACTGGAGGTTTTTTAAGCAGAGGTTGAATGGCCACCTGCCATGGATGCTTTAGTTGAGATTCCTGCATTGCAGGGAGCTGGAGTAGATAACTCTATGATTCTATGATTCCCAGCTCCTCAGTCTGAGCAGCTTGTCCAGTGGAGTAATGATGCAGATTTCCTCATCTCACCTCCCTACCTCCTTGTCTGTCTGCTCCAGAACCTGCCCTCTGGCCTGTCTGTCATCACACCCTTCCATTTTACCCTGTTGGGCTTTCACAGCCCAACTGCCCATTACAGTATCAATGGAAAGCCTGCGGCCAAAGATTTGGCAGGGTTGCTTCAAGCCGATATATATGCGTTCCTCGTCCTGTGCCCCTAGGCAAGGTCTGAGCTGCGCAGAGGAATATCCCTGCAGGGCCTGAGGCGCCAAAGGCCTGAGGCAAAAGACAGGCTGGTTCCATGTTCCCTCCCCAACCCCATCCCACCTAGAGAAGCGGATCAGAGGGGCTGAATCATGGAAGGAAAAAACAGAAACAGAGAAACATTCTCCTGGGGGGGAAAACCCCCACATACCTGCCCCATGCATGGTGCTGTGAACAGGAGTGACAGAGAGGGGACCCAAGGATCCTGAGGTAGAGACCTGGAAGAGAAAAGCAAGCAGAAGAGGATCATTTGGGGTGACGGGTTAAAAGATTGGCCTTGGTTGGTTTGTCCACTGCAAGTCGTATGGCTGGTGCTTAGAAAAACATACACAAATAAGCAGTCACCTAGATGCTGTGCTATAGGAGCCTCAAATCGTTCAACGAGAAGCTCATTTTTGGCATCATTTACACTGTACATTTAAACAGGGTTGGAAATCTGGACTCAAAATCTAAAATAAATAAATTTTGAGCTGTTTTAAAGGAAATACGTCAAAATAGAGACTGTGGCTCCCCCCACCAAAGAATCCTTGGAAATGTTGTTTCTTAAGGGTAAGAGTCATTGGGAGACCCCTGTTCTCCTCAAAGAGCTGCAATTCCCAGAGTGGTTTAACAAGCAATCCCTCTTCACAGGGAACTCTGGGAGATGTAAGTCTGTGATAGAAATGTGATGCTGCTTTATTTTATTTATTTTTTTAATAACTTTTTTTATTCAAAATTAAAACAAAACATATTATCCAGAAACATATCATCCTTATCCCCCCATTTTTCCTCCCCCTCCCTCCCCCCACAGAATTTACCCACCCCCACCACCCGACTTCCCTCAGTTCCAGTCTTTGATTTCTCTAAAAATGCTGTTTTCTGCATGTTACACAGTTGTATAGATCCTCAAACAAATGTGATGCTGCTTTAAATGTATAATGCAGGTGGTACTTAGCCGTGCCTCCTTTTTATTTAGCAGGAAGAAACTCCAATGAAAATCCTCGTTATTACATATTTTACATGGCTGTTTATTTGTACATGTTTTTAAATTTTATATATGGATGTTTTATCATGGCCGATACTTGTAATGCCTAATAAAAGTTTGGCAAAGGTCCTTTCCAACTCTACATTTGCTGCTGGACTTAGATGACAATTTGCTCAAATGGTTCAGCAGCTGGAGATGATAGGTGCTTCCAGATGACCTTTTTAATTAATTTATTTTTTTAATAAAAAAAGCATTAATTGTGATTGGTTTGCAGGGAGATGAGATGACACTGCCTATTTCAGGAGCCTTCTGATTTGTTGTAGGGGAGATTAGAGGATGTTGTGTCCAGGCAAGCGTTCTGTCCCACACTGTCTAGTGAATTTCCCCATCCCTTTCCTCAAAGCAAAAAGATTCAGGTAGGGAGCCGTGTTGGTCTGATGAAGTATATCTGAAGAAGTGTGCATGCACACGAAAGCTTATAACAAGAACAAACTTAGTTGGTCTCTAGGTGCTACTGGACATTTTTTATTTTATTTTTTATATATCTCAAAGCAAAAAGTCTATGTTGAGGGGGGTCGGGGCAGGGAGAGGTGTATTTGTTGCGCAAGAGCTCCCCGTCGACAACGATTGCACAACGTGGATTTGCTGACACAGGAGAGGATCCCACCCGAAAACGTAGACAGCCTGAGAGCACCCTGTGCTGTGCTAGAAGCAGCTGCCTTGCAGGAAGCTGTGTGAATGAGTCATCTTCAGAGGGTGCTCTCCTCTCTGAGTCAGTCCTGGTGAATCAGGGAAAAGGTGCTCTCTCCATTTGCTGGGGGCCTTGTTAATTTGGAGCGATAGCATCTCAGGAAGCTGGCTGACATTTCGGCGACTGAGACTCTCCGTCACAGTTTCAGTTGGATCCCAGCCTTTTTCCACGCAGCATTTCTAACAGAGCTTTTAAGCTTTTTACCTGTACCCCATCTCAGTAACACTTACAACAATCTTGCAAGGTAGGCCATGCCTGTTATTCCCATACTGCCTCTGTGTGGGGAGACGGCAGTTTACTGAGGGCTGCCAAGAAACTTGAAGCAAGGCCCTTGTGGCTGACAACTCATCATGAGCCATTATATTGTCCTGGCTCTCCTGCGTCGATCCCCTACGGCAAGCCATTCCTTTAGAAGGAGCTGGCATGCTCTACCCAAGCAACAGCTGCATTCCACTTCAAAGTGTGTTTATACACTAACGCTTCGCCCAGTGTAAGGTGAGGACCACACAGAATCCAGCTCTTGCCAACAGCAACAACTCTCTGGCCATTCACACAACCCACTTCCACTCATTCCTTCATGTAGGTGCATGTGCAATTCAAATTGCTTTCGAAGAAAGAACGAGAGGCAGGTAGCAGCTGCGTGGAGCTACGCACCAGGCACCTGCAAAGCGGTTTGCAAAAGGGAGAGGTGCTCTGTTGGCTCTGATACACCAGGAGCACACTGTTGGCGACATGGAACATGATGTTCAAAGCACAGTCTTTGTGTGATACTCCTGACTATTATGTATAAACAAGTGGCTTTTCACCATTCAGACATCAAATCTATCCAGCTTAGCAGTGCCTGTTCTTGCAGGCTCTCCAAGCTGACATTTGCTGCCTGAGGTCTTTGTAACAGGACATGCCAGGGACAATGGGATGCGGACAGTCCAGCTTCTATGAGAGAAAGGACAGGTCAGCTTGGTTTATAACAGCTTTCCTCAATCCAGGTGTTTTGGAACACAGCTCCAAAGAAGAAACAGCAAACTTTGAGTTGGAGACAACTATGTTCCCCTCAGACTGGACCCAAGTTAGTTAATGACATACCCCCCAACTGTCCCGCTTTAACTGGGACATCTCAGAAGCTGAGATTTGGATGCTGGAATGACGGGCAACAGAGCACCTTCTGAGATCGCTTTGACATTGCCAGGGATGCACCCCTCTGGGAAGCTGTGCTGGCTGTCTCAAAGGGATGCACCAAAGTGCCTTGGTGGGTCTTGCAGAGGGGGAGAAGGCAGCCTTGGCCTTGCAGTGGCAGCAGCAGTGAGCTGGCAAAGGTAAGGTGGTGGGTGGCTGAGTCAGCCTGGGCATGCTTGTGGGTGGTGCTGGTGTGTCAAGGCAGCCTAGGTGGGTGAGGGGTGGAGGCAGGGGCAGCATGATGGGTGTGTGTTTCCTGGATTTGGGACAGAAAATGTTGGAGCATATGTAATGAATCTAAGTTAGTCATGTCCATTAACTTCAGTGGGCCACTGCCAGTAGGACTAGCACTGGGTACAACAACAATTCCTGGGCACAAAGTGAGAGCTCCACCACCTAAATTTGCCCAGGGGTATCTGTGTATAAGCGAGACATGGGTGGTGCTGTGGTCTAAACCACTGAGCCTCTTGGGCTTGCCTATCAGAAGGTCGGTGGTTCAAATCCCCACAGCGAGGTGAGGTCCTGCTGCTCGGTCCCAGCTCCTGCCAAACTAGCAGTTCGAAAGTGTGCCAAAAGTGCAAATAGATAAATAGGTACCGCTCCGGCAGGAAGGTAAACAGTGTTTCCGTGCGCTGCTCTGGTTTCGGTGTTCTGTTGAGCCAGAAGCTGTTTAGTCATGCTGGCCACATGACCCGGAAAAACAGTCTGTGGACAAATGCCGGCTCCCTTGGCCTCTAAAGCGAGATGCACGCTGTAACCCCAGAGTCGTCTGCGACTAGACTTAACTGTCAGGGGTCCTTTACCTTTTTAAACTGTGTATAAATTAGCACAAGCCAATTTGCAAGAAATGTGCATTATGGGCTTCTGCCTCAAGTTCTTTAACTATCTAGCAATGCCCACTGGTGGCCAGTCCCCTTTGGCGAAGGAGCTCTTACCAGTCTGGAGTTGTAGAGGGGTGATTTGATAGGGGAGGGCATCGGGCAGCTGATGCGCTTCTCTTTCTGGCGCCGGTTGCAGAACCAAACCCGAACCACTTCCTTCTCCATGGACAACTGTTCTGCAATCATGGAGATCTCCTCTGAGCTGGGCTTGGGGTTCTGAAGAGAAAAAGGCTGAGATAAGCAACACCATCCACAGCGGTAAGGGATACTTTATTTATTCCTATATACATAGCAAGGTAAGACTGTCATCATGCTACAGCTCACAGATCACTGGATGGCTCAACCTGCAGTGATCTGGGGATGTCTGAATCCTCCACTCCCCCAAATCGGCTCAATTTAGTTCAGGACTTGGACCAGTCGAATCCTGCACACAGTCCTAGATCATGTAGTGTTGCAAGCACCTAATCTCTGTGTGCTGAGAGACTCCAGGGGCTCCTACACTTTCCCAGGGTTCAGTTTCCTGGGAGTGAAGGTCTATGGAGACTGTGGTATCTTTAGGAAATATGGATTTATTTACACATGTAGACGACCTGAACATAGGATGAAGGGCCTCACAGCATTTACACTACATCAGAACTTGTCTTCCTTTTAGGATTCTAGGGAAGCCGAATGCCACATCTTTGGGTCCAGCCTCTGGGGCTCCAGCTTCCAGCATCAGCAAAAAAACCTGTCTCTCACACAGCACCCCTTTTCCCTTTGTTCTCTCTCCTAGGCTGACATGGCATCCAGCAAGGTGAGGTGGGAAAATGCCCACCCATTTGTCTCTATGGCAACAGAGCAACCTCTTTGGACATGCAAATGGAAGTACTTAAGTGGCTAGCCTTAACAATTACCTTGACAAAAAGGAACTGGTTTGGTTTGTTCAGCAGTCTCCCCTACTAGATTCTTAACCTCACTGTGTACAGGATCACAGGCCTGGAAGGAATCCATGGATGTCATCTAGACTGACCCTCCAATCCTATAACACTATTTTAGGATGGAGGAAAACCTAGAAGGACTAGTGGGGTGAAGTGATGGAAGACATCCCTTCTTGCTTCTCATCACTTGCCCTGTCAAACCTCCAGCCTTATATACCTCCCCATATTATGCTCGACGGCTAAAAGTGGATTGTTTCTCTTACGTCTTGGAACCGTTTCTCCAGAGTGGAGCGAATGTTGGTCTCGATGCTGGTGCGTTTCTTTCTCTTGCGACCAAACATCTCGCTCACAGATGGGTAGGAACTGGGTGTGCTCACGGAAGAGTCCAAAGGGGAAGCTTCTATGGAGCAAGGAGATAGGCAAACTATTTAATTCAAAGCCGATATATTGATGTGTGCAAGGATTATGGCAGAAAACTGACAATTTGCTTTACTGGCTGATGCTGCTAGGAACTGGAGTCCAAAGCATCTAGTCACAGGTTCCCAAGCTCTGATCTCAGGTCTCCTCCCCCAATCTGGTGGCCTCCAGATATTTTGGATTGCAACTCCCATAAGCACCAGCCACAAGACAGTTACCAAAGGTTGGGCTGAGGTTCCCACCATGCCCCACAGAGACATGAGTGTGGTGTAGTGGTTAGAGTGTCGGACTAGGACCCAGGAAACCTGGGTTCAAATCTCCACTCAGCCAGGAAGCTTAGTGGGTGATCTTGGGCCAGTCACTGCCTCTCAGCCTAGCCTACCTCACAGGGCTGTTGTGAGGATAAAATAGAGAGGGGGGGAGAAGTATATACACCACCTTGCGCTCTTTGGAGAAAAGGGGCTATCTAAAAAAAATTCAGACACCCCTCTTTCTGTTTTTGTTCTGCTTCACATCCAAACTGAAGCAGAGTTCTGTTGAACTTGTAAGCTGGTGTCTTACTTTGCAATTTTCTGGTTGGATCCTACTTTATTCTCTCTTCGTCTTGGGAGACTATCACACCCTCTATTGCCCCCTAGTGGGACAATGCTGTATGATCCATGAGGGATCCTGTTTCCTTCAGAAAAACAAGCACAGCATCAATTTATACCCTACAATTCTGCCAGAAATTGAAAATCTGAGAGGGGAGGAGAAACAGCTCTCCACCCCTCAACCCATGCTGAAACAGTAAAGCTATCAAGACCAGGAAAGATCTTCTTCTTCTTATTTTCTTTAAGCAAACCTGCGAGAAATGGGAACTCATCCAAATGCCGGCTTGCGGAAGATGAACTGAAACACCGGCCTACCTGCATCGCTCAGCCACTTCTCCAGCAGTGGTTTCAGCTTGCACATATTCTTGAAGCTCAGATTGAGGGCCTCAAAGCGGGAAATGGTGGTTTGGCTGAAGTCATTCCCATAGAGCTTCCCCATGGCCAGCCCCACATCGCCCTGGAGGCAGAAGAGGTCAGGAAAGGGAAAAGGCACCAGAGAGCAATCATAGACTTGTACAGCTGCAAGGGACCCAGAGCACCATCTAGTCCAACCCTGGGGCAGTGCCGCAGTTGGGGAGCTCCCTCCTCGCAGAGGCGGGTCTGGCATCTTTGCTAAGCAGCTTTCCGCAAATGCTGAAGATGTCCTTCTTTGACACCTGAGATGTGTGTTTTCAGCCTGCCCTATTCCTGCAATTGCAAACTGTTTTTAATTCTGAATTTTAAGTTGTTGTAAGTTGCCCTGGGACCCGCTGGTGAAGGGCAGGTTAATACATTTAACAAAATGACAACAACCATCTAATCCAGGGATCAGCAGGGCCGGTCCACTGTCCCTCAGACTATATTTGGGGGGGGGGAATGAATGAATTCCTATGCCCCACAAATAACTCAGAGATGCATTTTAAATAAAAGGGCACATTCTACTCGTGTAAAAACATGCTGATTCCCAGACCATCCGAGGGCTGGATTTAGAAGGCGATTGGGCTGGATCTGGCCCCCGGGCCTTAGTTTTCCTACCCATGATCTAATCATACCCAACTTATGAATACTACTACTGATAACACAATGATAAGAAAAAAACCAGGATCTTCTTATTGAAACACCTTCCCCCAACACTGAACAGGTTTTGGAGGAGTGGTAGAGAACCAGAAGTTTCTGGATTCCAGCTCCCTTTAGCCCCAGCCAGCATGCCCAATGGCTAGAGATGATAGAAGTTGCAGCCTCAAAACACTTGGAGGGCCACAAGTTCTGAGTTAAAACAAGGAGGCATAACCAGCGTTCAAAAAGCCTTGGCAAAGGATTTAACCAGACAATCAGGATTAAAGTATCAGCACTCATTGTTCTTCTATGGCAGGGATGGGTGTTGTTGGACTCTAACTTCCATCAGATCTGGCCAGTGGTCAGGGATGATCGGAGGTCTGGTCCAACCATACCAAGAGGGCATTCCACAGTGGGGCACTACCACAGAGGAGGCCCTGCCCCTCTCTGCTGCATGAAATACCTTCCCCGGTGAAGGTTCTCAAAGAAGAACATCAGCTGAAGGTCTCAAGGCACAGGCAAGGTGGCCTTGAGACAAGCCTTTACAGTTTGAAGGAGACAGTCCTCACCTGAGTGAACCCAAGTTTGATTCTCCTCTGTTTGAAAGTTTTGGCAAATTTTTCCAGCTCCTCTAGATCATTGGCTTCGTCCGTTGCCACTGAGGACGGCAAGTGTTTGCTCACTTGTAAGTGCTGAGGGACTTCCAGGTGGGGCTCCAACGACGATCCGGGGTGCCCAGGACGTCCCACCGCCTGTTAAAACAGACACATTGTGCCATCATTACTGGGGGGGAAAAACACCCTACAAAAGCACTCCCCAGGAAAGATGTTTAAAAGGGTCTAAGCTACAGGTCAGATGACATGTTCACAAAACATCAAAAACGTCATGGGATGTGCTGCCGGTTTGACTGCACAACCCTGGTAATTCACCGGCCAGAGATAGTGGCCAGAAGGAGCGTTGGATAGTAGGGGGCTACCATTTTGATTCCCTGCATTGTCCCATAGCGCTGCTACACCAGGGGTATTGTGGGAAATTAAAATGGCTGCTCTCCCCAGAGCACTGGGCCAGAAAAAATGAAAACAATGGGGGCTTAGGGCAGATAGTAGTAGCGGTGGTGTCATTTGTCTGCTGATGTTGGGGGCAAATGCTGACCCTGAGATTCTTACATTACAAGGGGTTGGACTACATGACTCTCGGGGTCCCTTCCAACTCTACAATTCTATGACTCCACTTCCACCCTCACCAAATTGTGTTTTTTGTGTGTGGGCTATAGACATTTGCATCCAGCCTCTCAATTAAAGTGTCCAAAGTGGCTGGTGCAATACAAATTATTTGCCAAAATAACCCCATAGAAAACCATCAATATGAACAAAACATTGGTCAACACAATAAAATACCCATTGGAAACTAAGGCCTCACTATAAATTTAAAGTAGAATCCTACCACTTTAAACAGCCATGGCTTTCCCCAAAGAATTCTGGGAAATGTAGTTTGTTAAAGATGCTAGGAATTGTGGCTCTGTAAACTCCAGTTCCCAGGATTCTTTGAGGGAATCCATGTGCTTTAAATGTGTGTCAAATGTGCTTTAAATGTATAGTATGGGTGTGCCCTGAGAGCCAATCAAGACACATCCAGAATAATCGTAGGGTATTACCCTTCCTGTTGGGACTATACCAGTTCAGATTGCTGGTTAGGTGGTGGCGGGGGAATCCTACAAATGTGGGGAAAACATTTCTCGTAATTAGAAATCTAGCATGCAAGGATGATAAATGCCCTTGCCCTGATGTGCTAGTTTCCTCCACGAAGGAAGACTTATACAAGGGGGAAGACTCAAATATATGATCCTCCAACCGGCTGTAAGCAGGGATTTTCTTATCCTACATTCATTGCAACAATGACTAATCAAATTTAGTTGTTTTTATTCCTAATTACACTCGGTGTGGCCTAGAGGGCTGACTGGGCTGATCCAGCAAGATTGTTCGTATAATTTAGGATGAGCAGAAACCCACACATCTGAAGATGACATAAGAGGCCTGGGTGTTATGGAGACAGTTTCCTCTCATCCATCATTCTAGGTGTCTCCTGGTGGTAGAGGGAGTGTCCCAGGATCAGACACTATGGGACTGGATGCTTTCTGTTGGCGGCGGCGGTGGTGGTTGATAGACCTTTCCAAATCCTGCTTCCTCTTCAGTTTTCAGGCACTTTGCTTGTGATTCTGCCTCCCTCTTTTCATTAGAAGTTTTAAAGCATAAGAACATAAGAAGAGTCTGTTGGATGAGGCCAGTGGCATCTAGTCTAGCATTCCTGTTCTCAGAGGGGCCGGCCAGATGCTTGTGGGAAAACCGTAACCTTTCCTCATAGGCAGAGGCTGGTTGGCTACCTATCAGGGATCCTATCATAGTGGCTTTCCTACTTTGACCAGGAGGTTGGATGAGATGACTTCAGAGGCTTCTTCCGGCTCTAGGATTCTATGCATGCTGCCTTTAGGCTGAGTAGCCCAGGGGTGACCAAACTATGTTCCACAGCCCTAAGCTTTGTGGAACATTTCAGTAAACAGCCACAGGGAGCTCTCATCATCCCAAGGAATAGCGGAAAAGAGAACTTGCTCAGATTAAACCAAATTTGACTGTGGGTAGGAAAGAGTCCTTTCCACCCTCCTCCCTTCCTTTGTATTGGACTTGGCTCAATGTGAGCACAACTGTGGAGTCAAATTCCCACGGTCCTTCCCAATGGAATATTTCCATCTGGTTCCAAATTCAGTTCTCCAGGAAATTTAGTGTTAAGATTGTGGCCAAGGGGGACAAGGGGGACTTCATATACTGTATATATAGTACTGAAAATTCAGCCATTTATTTGAGCACTTTGGGATTGTCCAGAGATAATTCTGCACCAGATTTCAAGGAGTGCTCCTACTGACCTTTGGGGTTCCTAGCTAGACACTGAATTAGAGCTGAAATTAATTTGTTTGCAAAACAGCACATCAGTTTCTCTTTAGGCACTGAAAGTTCTTCAAACATTCCCCAAATGCTCAAATATTTGCTGAATGCTTGAAATCTGCTATTCAATCAATCAATATAAGTTTATTGTTCTAGCCAAAGGTCATTACAAACCCCACAGCAACAGTACCAATAGAACAATACAGATCATACAAATCTGTTATTTGATATCATATGTTTGATTTTCAATTCTTGACATTTGATTTGTCAGGATCTGAGAGTTGACATACAATAGGATATAGTATTTCACCATATCTTACAGTAGGCAGTGGAATTTAAAAGCTGACATGCACTGGGATCTAGTATGTGACAATATGTGTAGCTGTCATGCAACAGTTTTCATATTTGGCAATGTGGCTAATGATGTTGACAGCCAGCAGCTGATGTACATCTGATGTGTGGCAAAGTGACCCCCAAAGCAGCTGAATTTTAAGATCAGATGGCACATTCAAAATTTCAGTTTCTATGTTGGATGTTTTGAATATCTGAGAATACTGGCTTCGGCTCAATAGTGAATTTAATTCAGCTGAGTTAACTGAACCAAATTAATCCAATCAAAAGATATTCCTGCATTGCAGGGGGTTGGACTAGATGATCCTCATGGTCCCTTCCAACTCTACAACTCTATGATTTCCATGAGCTAAACACCCTGCCAAGTGGCCATTACCTGAGACGTCAAGCTGTGCCCATGTTGGGGAAGGAGGATCCCACTCTGCTGCTGAGGAAAGGAGAGGAGATTTGGTTGCAGAGCTGGAAGAGAAAGGGGGGGAAAAGTGTGAGAAACTTTGTCTCTGCCTAATGATTTTCAGGATGGAAGGAAGAAGAAGGCCCGGTCCACTGAGGAAGAAGGGTGAGGAGCAGGGCTGCATTTAGGTTTGATGAGGCCCTAAGCTACTGAAGGTAATGGGGCCCTTTATATGTCCAGCTGTCCTTTGTCAACAACAAATTGTCACTGTTTTTTTGTGTTGAATATATGCTATATGGTAATTCATAATAGGTATCTAAAGCCATTTGCACATAACAGATAGGAGCCTACACTACACAAAACACTGTTGCTGTATGTAGGTTTTTAAAATTTTTTTTTATCTTATATTTTGGAAATGTACATCCAGGTTGTTTTTTTCTTTAATTTTTTTTGGGGCCCCCAAGAGAGTGGGGCCCTAAGCTATAGCTTGTTTAGCTTATACGTAAGTCTGGCACTGGTGAGGAGCCTGCCTTAAGCAACAGAAGCCCTAGAAGAGGTGCCTGCCTCACCTCCACTGTTTGCCAGTGGCCTCTGCTGCTGGCCCTGTTGCACGAGATCTCACAAGACTTCGGTGAGATCTTGCAAAATCTCACTGGAAGTTGGCCGCGGCTGCTGGCGCTTTGTGGGCACCAGTGGGCAAGACAGGTAAGGGTGGTGCGGTGCCAGTGGCGAGTGAAATGGGGAGTGCCACCCCTGAGAATAAGGATGGGGAAGAGCTTTGGCTCACTGCTAAAGCATCTGCTTTGCACGCAGGTTCAATCCCTGCCATCTCCAGGTTGGACTGGGAATCTTGGAAACCTGGGGAGAAATATGGATTTGAGTGTGGATCTTTCTTAAATATACCCACTTTGGTATGCAGTTTTCCCCAATACAAGGCATTTTCGAAGGCTATTGTTACCAATATACTATATTTTTCGCTCTATAAGACGCACCAGACCACAAGACGCACCTAGTTTTTGGAGGAGGAAAACAAGAAAAAAAAATTCTGAGTCTCAGAAGCCAGAACAGCAAGAGGGATCGCTGCGCAGCGAAAGCAGCCATTCCTCTTGTGTTCTGGCTTCTGGGATAGCTGCACAGCCTGCATTCGCTCCATAAGACGCACACACTTTCCCCCTTACTTTTTAGGAGGGAAAAAGTGAGTCTTATAGAGCAAAAAATACGGTACATTTTGATGAACACAGTACCCCAGTATATGCGCTTTTGTTCATATTATGCAGCTGGAGAAGTGCACTGCAAAGTCCGGAGGACAGCAAACTTTGAAGGATGCTTGTGTTTCCATTTGTGTATTGCTTCAGAAAGTGCACTTTAGCGCAGTTTGCTTATAAAGGCAAAGAGAATCAAACTTCTCCTCCATACATACCTTCAGATGATGCTGAACTATAACTCCCACTAGCCCTGACCATTGGGCCTTGCTGGCTCAGGCTGATGGGAGCTGTAGTCTAGCAACACTTAGGAGGGCTCCACTTTGTCTATCCTTGCCTTTGAGTGCTCAGAGCACCTTGCAGACATCCTGTTGTAATCCTTACAACAACACAGGAAGGCAAGCCAGCTCAGCAGTATAATTCCCATTTTGCAGACGCGTGGCTGAGGCTGTGAAATAGGAGCTTGCCTAAGGCCACCTAGGGATAATAGAACCTTTCCAAAATGAGAGTGTCTTCCACAATATGGTGCAATGTCACCAGAAATGAGATGCGCATGAGATTAATGACGTGCCCTCAAACAGACAAATTGGCAGCTGCCCTTCTTTCTTAGGATGGATTTCCAAACTGGGCTTTAACGCCACTAGACAGGATGACATCTTAGCACCAGGGTGAAGACAGGCTGTGGGTGTTGGAGGGGGGGGGAAGGAAGACTGTTGTGGCAGATTTTCAACTGCGGCGTGAGCCTGGTTTCTCCCCACTCTGCAATTTGCATGACAGACATACACACCAAGAAATGAAATCTTGCTTTCGGTAGTGGCTGGGCCCCATTGGAGCTGGTAGGGTGGAAGGCAGGGAGGCAACCAGTAGGTGGCGCCAGAGCCAGTGACTAATTCCAGTATCCTCCCTGCAGAGTTGTACGTGGGCAACACGGAGACTAAGGAAGAGGGGGAGGAAGCTGGCAGGCAGAACAAATGGTGGCTGGTTGGAGATGGGCTGAGGTTAGTGGGGCCCTGCCCCATTCCCCCTAAAGAAGCAGCCTCCGCTACTTCAACCATCACTTGTCCTTCCCCTTCCTCCAATATTTCAGCCTGGCTGTTGCCCTTTGAACAACAGGTGTAGTCAATATTTTTGCATCCAAGGGTAGCTGCTGCATGCAGGCGCATGCATCAGAACATAAGAAGAGCCAGTGGCCCCCTGGGAGCAGTATCCTGTTCTTGCAGTGGCCAGCCAGATGCTTGTGCGAAACCCACAAGTGAGATTCGAGCACAAGAGCCCTCTCCCCTCCCCCTGTGGTTTCCGGCAACTGGCATTTTGGAAGAATTGCTGCCTCAATATGTGGAGGAATTTCATAGCCCTCATGGCTGGTAGCCATTGATAACCCTCTCCTCTGTGAATTGGTCAAATCCTCATTGAAAACCATCCAGTTGGTGACCATCACTGCCTATGGTGGGGGAAATGTCCTCAATCTGACTCTGTTAGGTGTAACTATCTGCATTCACAGGACTCCCACCTGAATAGCTGAAGGGGGTTATTGGCTCCCCTTCCACCCAAATATTCAATCTGATGACCAGTGAGGCATTCTCTTTGCCTCCTCAGAAGATTGTCTTTTTGTCACTGCTTGGTATGTTCTTGTGAGGCCAGCTCCAGATCTGTGGGTTAGCCGGCAGCATTGTAAAAGGTACAATAGGTTTCTTTTTTACCCATCATAGTGGATGCAATTCTTTTGGTTCCCCTGTGCATATGGAAAGGCAGATGAAAGAAAGCTCGTCTCTACTCGCTGCACAATATTTGGTGCGGACATAGGCTGGTGGCAGCCTTTAGCAAAAGCTGAGGAACGAGCTCCTGTCAGAGAGGAAGGTGGTGGACTCTCCTTCATTGGAGGTTTCTCAACAGAGGTTGGGTGGTCATCTGACAAGATTTTTTTAGCAGCAAGTCCTACATTGCAATTGCAAAGTGTTGGTGCTAACCTTTAAAGCTCTAAACGGTCTCAGCCCTGTATATCTGAAGAAGTGGCTTCACCCCCATCATCCAGCTCAGACACTGAGGTCCAGCTCTGAGGGCCTTCTGGTGGTTCCCTCACTGAGGGACATGAAATTACAAGGAACTAGGCAGAGGGCCTTTTCGATAGTGGCGCCCGCCCTGTGGAACAACCTCCCTTCAGATGTCAAACAGTTAAACAACTATTTGAAGGCTCCCCTGGTCAGGGAAGTTTTTAATGGTTGATGTTTTATTGTGTTTTTAATATTTTGTTGGGAGCTGCCCAGAGTGGCCGGGGCAGCCCAGTCAGATGGCCAGCATATAAATAAAATAGAAATAATAATAATACAGTGGTACCTCGGGTTACATATGCTCCAGATTACAGACTCTGCTAACCCAGAAATAGTACCTCGGGTTAAGAACTTTGCTTCAGGATGAGAACAGAAATCGTGCTCCAGCGGCGCAGCGGCAGTGGGAGGTCCCATTAGCTAAAGTGGTGCTTCAGGTTAAGAACAGTTTCAGGTTAAGAACAGACCTCCAGAACGAATTAAGTACGTAACCAGAGGTACCACAGTAGTAGTAGTAGTAATAATAATAATAATAATAATAATAATAATAATAGTTGCAGTGGCTTGGGCTAGATGACCTTTGGTGTTCCATTCAACTCTACATTTCTGTGATTTTAGGAAGAAGTGCAACTGTGAGGAGAGCAGAGAAACTAAATCAGAGGTGTGTGAGATAGTCATGTCTTAAGGGGTGTGAGGAAATGGAGCCAGGTTGGTTTTAGGTGCAGGTTGCTGAGTTCACCCATTGCTGAAAGTAGCCACTGAGGCGAGGGAGTGCTCCACTTATGTTACTGAGAACTGAGTCACCGCAGGAGTTCATCACTGTAACCCTCCTAATTTCCTGCTCCCAGTCACTGGCTGCGTAATCCCAGCTCTTTGCAGCTGTTTCACTACTTCAGCGGAATCATTGCTTCACCCTTTTTCTCCCGTGTGTCTCCGGAGTAGCAGAAAGGAAAACAAAGACCTGCAAGATCCCACAGGGTAGGGGTTGGTCATTGTTTCATCTGCGACTAGGCACCTTGCAAATTAGAGACACGCATGCAAATGTAATTAAAAGACGCACGCCACTGCAAGTGGGTCTTGCAGAACCCTACCAGACGGCGCTGGCGGAGACGTTTTAATGCCTTTGCAACATCCAGGGAGATAGGATCTAAACGAGGCAGACAAAAATTAGCCAAATGGCTTTGCCTGCTAGCTGCGGGATGGCAGGTCATAGGCCTAAGGATGGGGAGCACCTCAGTTCATTCAACAGCAGTGGCGGCGGGGAGAGCTTGCGTACAAATAAAGATCTATCTGTTACTTACTTTCATTTACTTATTTCATACAATTTATGTGCCGCTCGATTGTAAAAAACAAAACAGAAACAAAAATTCAGTTTACAAAAAACACTAAAACCATAAAACCAAGACAAAAATTAAACAAGGGTCTTTGTCTGCATGTGTTGGTTGTGAGGCAGGACAGATTCATGCAGAATGGTGCACATATAGTGGCTGAAATTTGTACATCCTCCATCCATTTTGCGTAATCCCCATCAGACTTTGGGGAATGTACATATCTCGACTGCATTTTGGACATTCTCTGGGCAGTATGCACATTTTCCGGTCAGCATCCATAGTCTCCTAGAAACATGAGCCCTTTCCCCCCCTATTTCTTGTTCAGAAGTGTGTAGTTTTCACTTCTTGAGATGCTTCTGGCTCGCTCCCTCCTCTTGCATGGCTCACAACATGCCTCCACAGATCAGCCAAGAAGCAAATTCTTTATTAAATAAATAATATTTATCTATCGATCTCTTCATCAAATTTATACCCCACTATTCCTCTTTTCTCTGCAGGCCAGCTCTGTTTAAACCCAGGTTCAGGTGTTACCCAGTTAGCTGAGCAGCACAAGAGGGAATGCAGGGACAGGGACATTCTACACCAGGCACCCCAAAACTCGGTCCTCCAGATGTTTTGGGACTACAATTCCCATCATCCCTGAACACCGGTCCTGTTAGCTAGGGATGATGGGAGTTGTAGTCCCAAAACATGTGGAGGGCCGAGTTTGGGGATGCTTGTTTTTGTTTTAAAGAAGGTTAAAATCTATGGGGGGGGGGAAAGGGGGAAATTTATGTATTAAAAAATAGATGGAGATGAAAATAGTAATATAAAAATATTATTATTTTTTTCAAAAAAAGAACAAAAAATCTTATTAAAAAACAATTAAAAATTAAAATTAAGAAAAAATGTTTTTCCCTTCTTCCTTCCCTTTAAAAAAAAAATCCCTTAAAAATACAAAAAAAGTGCCTTTTTCTTTTCTTTTCCCTCAAAAATTGAAAATAGAAGGAAGCAAGGTCTTTTCCAGTGGGCTTCCCTTTGGGCTCTGGCTTGCTTTTAGTGTGCTAGCTGTCGGGGAGGTGGGCTCGGCCTGGGCTTGGGTTCAGCTGCGTGTTTACCTCTCCTCCTTTCCCTTGGTGGCGGCAGCGCAATGGGGGGGGATGCTTGTTTTACACCTTCCCTCCCCCAATTCTGACTGAATTGCCTCCCCTGGCCAATCACCAAGGGGATCAGAAGGGATAGGAGGTTTAACCAGCTGAGGAAGAGTTACTCAGCAGGAGAAAGAGGGTAGGGAGAGAAGGAGTTTGTCTAGTAAATCTGTGGACCTCACTCCGACAGGAGGCAGGGATGACCACCAGCTTGGGCGACTTTAAAAGGAGATAGAGCAAATTCCTAGAGGAGAGGGCTTTTGGTGGCTACCAGTCATGATGGCTATGCTCTGCCTATGCAGTTGGAGGCAATGATGATTCTGAATACCAGCTGATGGAAACTGCAGGAGAGGAAAGGAAACCTGATTGCGGGTTTCCCATTGGCGCTTCTGGTTGGCCACTGTGAGAACAGGATGCTGGACAAGATGGGCCATTGGCCTGATCCAGCAGGGTCTGCTTATGCTGTTATATAAATTTAGGGTGAAAAGCCTCCAAAACTATTCTGTCTTTCAAAAATTGAAAATCCAGACACATGGGTTGCCATACGTCCAGATTTTTCTGGACATTTTTGCCAGTTTCCTCCTTGACACTGCTTCTGACTGCAGTATTCTGAGGAAAGTTCCAGGAAATTCTGGGTGTATGGCAACCCTGCCCCAAATATATCAATATCCTTGAAACATCTGCACGGCATTCCTTTTGACACCTGCTAATGACTTTGTTAGGGACGCGGGTGGCGCTGTGGGTTAAACCACAGAGCCTAGGACTTGCCGATCAGAAGGTCAGTGGTTTGAATCCCCGCGATGGGGTGAGCTCCCATTGCTCACTCCCTGCTCCTGCCAACCTAGCGGTTCAAAAGCACGTCAAAGTGCAAGTAGATAAATAGATAAATACCTTCCTCTGGCGGGAAGGTAAACAGCGATTCTGTGCGCTGCTCTGGTTCACCAGAAGTGGCTTAGTCATGCTGGCCACATGACCCGGAAGCTGTACGCTGGCTCCCTTGGCCAATAAAGTGAGATGAGTGCCGCAACCTCAGAGTTGGCCACGACTGGACCTAATGGTCAGGGGTCCCTTTAACTTTACATAATGACTTTGTTTGTTTGTTTAGAGAATCCTACCCAGGCTTGCAATTTTAACGTGTAATGATAACATGAGCTTCTATTAATTTCGTAAATTTCTAACGAGTGCTGATTTTACATGTATTTTGATTCGTCTTAGGTTAACTTGCTTTTAACATTTGCTTGTTATCAGCATTTCTTAATGACTATGATTAATGAGTAGTGAATCCTTAATGAATTTTCTAGTCCGAGTAAACTGCTTAGAGGTTACAGATGATAAAGCAGTTTATAAATCCTGTTAAACCGTTCATATAAGGAAAGGAGTCGGCGTGATCAGTGGCTAGGGAATGCTGACTGATTATTGAAAGGGGGAGGAAAGGGGGAACAGGGGGGAGGCGGGAGAGAATGGAGAATAAAGTGGAGTATCCAGAACAAAAGCACTTCATGCTGCAACATTTTGTTGCAGCTTCCCCATATATACTTAGATGAATGTCCTCCTTACCTTGTTGTCCTGCTGGGCCCTGAGAAAGGAGGAAAAGGGGGACGGATTGCATGTGGCCTGGAACCTGCACGAGCTGTTGTAACGTGTGAAGAGAACTCATATCCTGGAGGAAAGTAAGAGCCAAAGTTGCAGTCAGTGGGACCTTTTCACCCAGTTCTGCATATGCTCCATTGCCCACCCCTCTCCATGTGCATCGCTACCATGGTTGCTCTCCCCTCCTTGCTTTCCCCCAAAATATACGACTGTCCAAGCATGCACAAATATGTCATCCGGTTTCTCATTGGTTGATGACTCGGCACTTGAGGGACAAAGCCCACAATCTGTGGCTAGACCGAGACCAAAGACTTCAGGTGTTTTGAATGCTTCCCCCTCTCACAAATGTAGAACAACCTCTTGGATATTTAAAATGAGCAGGAGAAGGTAGACTCATCAGAATGTTAAAAGACCCTCTCACAGGGTCCAGACAGGAGCTCTGCCTCTGGGAAGTTCACAAACAGGGCTTGGAAGCAATAGCTCTCTTCTTCCTCTGCTGTCTCCAGCAACTGCTATTAGAGATACCTTGCCCCTGAACATGGAGGTTCCACCATGATAACAGCTGTTGACAGACCTCCCCTCCTCTATGACTTTGCTCAATTCCCTTTTGAATCCATCTGAGCTGGTGGCCACCACCGCATCTTGTGGCACTGAGTTCCTCAGATTAATTACACACACGGAGAAGAAGCACTTCCCTTTGTCTGTCCTGAATCTCCAGCCATTCAGTTTTATCGGATAACCTTGGGTTCAGGAGTCAGAGAACCTTCTCTGCATCCACTTTCTCTACACCACGCCTCTACCATGACCCCCTCACTTCGATTATCTTTCTTAACCCTAAACTAAAATACCTAAATGTTGTAGCCTTTCTTCTTAATAGGATCATGTGGCCAGTACTGTTTATAGTTGATTTATTCAAAACCTGCAGCTCCACAAAGTCACAGATGGTTACCCATCCAAGCACTGACCAGACCTCAACCTGCTTAGCTTCAGCATTTGGTGGTGCATCAAGTGCCTTAAGGCCACACCCCATATGGGAATTCTTCGCTTGGTCTACAACTGCTTTTGATCAACACTTGTCCGTATGAATCACCGAAAGTCTCTTACCCCAGCAATTTGCCCTCCAGGCATCATCGAGGGCCCTTGTACCAGGTGGCTCGATCTGGAGGGAATGGCGGTTTGCAAAGAGTCACCGAGGTCCTCCGTCTTAATCTGCGTAAAAGAGTAAAAGATAGCATTGTTGCAAAACCCTTGCCAAGATCACGAAGCTGGTAGGAGGAGAGGGAAGGCTGGGGGAGGCAGGTTTGGGGTGCAGAATTCAGGGAGCCTGTACCCCTCGTGGCTTCAGTTGGCTTGCTGTAGAATTTATTTATTTATTAGTTATAAAAAATATTTACATACCACTATCTTTTTTTTTTTTTTTTAAGAAATTGGGATGGGTCACCACTAAGGATTATGGAAAAGTGCATGCCTGCGCAAGACTACTGAAATAGAAAAGTTTTCAGCAGATGTTTAAGACTTGGCACAGAAGCCACCTGCCGAATTTCTAGTGGCAGAGCATTCCACAGGTTTGGGCTGATGACACAAAAGGCTCAGTTTCTTATAGTCAAAGGATCCTCCCCAACACATAACCCTGTTTGAGGTCCCCGGAATGTCAAACACCAACTTCTGTACACAATGGATGGAAACATTTCTGGGAGACCAATGAAGGAATTTGTCTGCTCCAACAACCACATTGACATTGAGATAATGTTTTGAAGATTATCTAAATTTGTGTACTGCCCTGTACCCATAGATCTTAGGGCCGAATGCCTGGTTAAACAGAAACATTTTCACCTGGTGCCTGAAGATATGTACTTCAAGTGTCAGGTAAGCCCTGCTGGGGAGAGCATTCCACAAACGGGGAGCCACCACAGAAAAGGCCTGTTCTCGTTTTGCTACCCTCTTGACCTCTGGTGGAGGAGGCACATGAAGAAGTGCCTCCGATGATGATTGCAGGGTCTAGGTCAGTTCATATAGGAGGTCCTGTGTCATTTAAGGCTGTATAGGTCAAAATCAGCCCGTGCAGTCGAGCCAGGAATGGTGTACTATGCCCTGGTGAGCAACCTGGTCGCCGAATTCTGCACCAGCTGAAGTTTCTGAACTGTCTTCAGAGGCAGCCCTATGTATAGCATGTTGCAGCAATCTAACCTAAAGGCTGCCAGAGCATGTTGTTGTTGTTTGGTTGTTTAGTCGTGTCCGACTCTTCATGACCCCATGGACCAGAGCACGCCAGGCACTCCTGTCTTCCACTTCCTCCCGCAGTTTGGTCAAACTCATGTTCGTAGCTTTGAGAACACCGTCCAACCATCTTGTCCTCTGTTGTTCCCCTCTCCTTGTGCCCTCCATCTTTCCCAACATCAGGGTCTTTTCTAGGAAGTCTTTTTTTCTCATGAGGTGGCCAAAGTATTGGAGCCTCAGCTTCAGGATCTGTCCTTCCAGTGAGCACTCAAGGCTGATTTCCTTAAGAATGGATAGGTTTGATCTTCTTGCAGTCCATGGGACTCTCAAGAGTCTCCTCCAGCACCATAATTCGAAAACATCAATTCTTCGGCGATCAGCCTTCTTTATGGTCCAGCTCTCACTTCCATACATCACTACTGGGAAAACCATAGCTTTAACTATACAGACCTTTGTTGGCAAGGTGAGGTCTCTGCTTTTAAAGATGCTGTCTAGGTTTGTCACTGCTTTTCTCCCAAGAAGCAGCCGTCTTTTAATTTAAATGACAGAAATTAGGCTATCCCTGTCCAGATAGGGGGCAGCTGGGCCACCAGCCGAAGCTGATGGAAGACACTCCATACCACCAAAGCCACCTAAGTCTCAAGCAACAGCAAAGGGTCCAGAAGTACTCCAAAGCTATGTACCCGCTTCTTCAGACGTATTCTAACCCCATCAAGAACAGGCAACCTCTCATCCATCCAGTCTAGGGAACCACCCACTAGCAGTGCCTCAGCCTTATTTGGATTGAGCCTCCATTTGTTGACTCTTACCCAGTCCATTACTAAGACAAGACCATGAACCAGCACATCCACCCCCACATTTGTAAAGGAGAAGTAGAGTGGTGTGTCATCAGCATATTGCTGGCAACGTACCCCAAAACTCCAGATAACCACACTCAATGGTTTCATGCAGATGTTAAATGGCACAGAGGTTAAAGCTGAACTCTGAGAAACCCCATGTTGAATGCTCCACAGGGCCAAAGAGCACTCCCCAAGTGGAAGGACAGTTTGAGGACCCTGTGTGAGAGGCAGGTAAGGCGAGATCTCAGTGGGTGAGAAGAGAAGGGTGAGCCCAGGTGAGAGCTGGGAGGGCACACTTTCCTCTGTAGGGGATGAAAGATAAGAAATAGTGGAGAGAGAGGATTTTGTAGTTTCTTCTTCTGTCTCTTCTTTCTTTAGTTTCTTTCTTTTCTTTATCTCTTGTAGAAGAGTTTGTTGTTTTTCTTGTATTGTGGCTACAGCGGTACCTCGGGTTAAGAACTTAATTCGTTCTGGAGGTCTGTTCTTAACCTGAAACTGTTCTTAACCTGAGGTACCACTTTAGCTAATGGGGCCTCCCACTGCCGCCGTGCGATTTCTGTTCTCATCCTGAAGCAAAGTTCTTAACCTGAGGTACTATTTCTGGGTTAGCAGAGTCTGTAACCTGAAGCATCTGTAACCTGAGGCATCTGTAACCTGCGGTACCACTGTGTGTGTGTGTGTGTGTGTGTGTGTGTGTGTATCTATATCTATATATATATATGGAAAAAGAGGAGCTCTCCCCAGGCATCACCCTCTGGAAATAACCATCGAAGTAGGACCAGAACCATTGCAAAGAGATGCCACCCACCCCTAACTCAGACAGCCACTCCAGAAGGATACCATGGTCAAGGGAATCAAAAGACACTGAGAAAGTAGATAGTGAAAGAAAAAAGCAAGTTATGGCAAGGAAAACTGACACCATAATAGGAACATAAGGACCTAAGAGGAGTCTGCTGGATCAGGCCAATAGCCCATCTAGTCCAGCATCCTTTTCTCACAGCAGCCACCTTTTCCTTTTGCGGGAAACCCAAAAGCAGCACCTGTGCACAAGATCCCTCTCCCCTCCTGTGGCTTCCAGCAACTGGTATTGAGAAGCATTTCCCCCTCCGAATGTGGAGGAAGAGCACAGCCACCCTGACTAGCAGCCATAGATAGACCTTTCCTCCGTGATTTTGTCCAGTCTACTATTAAAATCAGCCAAGTTGGTGGTCATATGAGCTGTGTGAAGAATTACCGTATTTTTCTGTGTATAACACGCCCCCATGTATAAGATGCTCCCTATATTTGGGGACTCTAAATTAAGAAAATGGGGTGGGGGGAGATTGTCAGGAGTTAAGCTTTTTGGGGGGAGGATTGCCCAGACAAACGCAGACAATATCACACATTGCCGATGACAATCTCCTGCTTGTGGCAGCAACCAATCACCCATCCCCACACTGCATTATCCATATATAAGACGACCCCTGATTTTAAACCTAATTTTAAAATAAAAAATCCTCATCTTATACACAGGAAAATAAGGTACTTTCTTTTGGTTGGATGGCCATCTGTCATGGATGCTTCAGTTGAGATTCTTGCATTGCAGGGGGTTGGACCAGGTGAACATTGGGGTCCCTTCCAACTCTAAGATTCTATCATTTTATCTGTCTTGAATTTCCCAACATTCAGCTTCATTGGATGTAAGCAAATTCAAGTGTTATGAGACAATATGGGCCAACCCAAAATTAAAGAATTGGAAATCAAGTAATAATTTGGCAAATTTGGATGAAAAAAGGTATTTTGACATTGAATCAATTAATTGATGAAAATTACAAATGTGTGGAATATAAGACTTTGCAAGTAAAGTATGGATTAACCAGTGAAAAACAATGGCAACACATCCAATTGAAACATATGTTGGAAAGGCAGTTTGGCCCTGACGCTATAGCAGCATCGGAAACACCCATGCTGCTACTAGATTTAA